AACAAAACAATAGATATTCAAATTTCTAATTATCAATAAGAAGTGCTTACGTCATCATGACCCCTAATCCCACATCTTATTTTTCTTATGGCCACGGTCGCTATGTGCATAACTTTTATCATTTGGTTTCATATTTGAGCATAAGAAGTGTTCGTTTTTTTCTTCATATTTCGCGCCAGTTGTAAACAAAACATGACAAATGTGATCAACAAATTTCTTTAAATCCCGAAAAGAAATATATTATGTAATAAAGTTTGCACATTAACTGTAAAAGCAAATATAAAACCTGTTGATAATATAAATACCTGCTGATATAAAGTTTTCAACTATTTAATTATGCAGAAATATACCTTCGTCACCTGCAAAATATTAGGATTTATATCTCCAAGTACTATCATTTTCTCCATATACATGTATTTCATTTCAATAAATACAGTTCAATATCATCAATATCTATTCCATCTTCTATTCTTATCTGATGTAATATTTACTCTGAACACTAAATGAAAGTTTCTAAGTGTCAAACACTCAATGATACGTAATTACGTACGTGTATCTCGGCTGTATTTAAAAGAAAAAGTAAAAACTGCATTCCATCTTTATCTGGGAACCTTACTACATTAAAATAGGGATAAAACCAGACGAACAAATATCTTAACCATCACTTCACATAATGGAGGGAGAAATTTGGACGTTTGTGATCTTAGTGATTCTGTCTGTAGGATCAGTTCCGATCCAGAATCCGAGAAAGACTTATCATCTGTAAGTAAACCTGAATATAAAAAAAATAAATGAAAAAAAATAGCTACTATCTGTAAGTGACAAAAAAACTATTCAAAAAGAGTTACTATCTGCATGTAAAAATGGTGTATATATACAATGAAGTATGAAAAAATATTTTAAATACAATGAAGTATATCTAAGTATATGGGGTAGAGTTAAAATCCCACAGAGTACTATTAAATGTAAAGATGGATGAATAAGAATTCCAGGAAGAGCTACTATTGATTTGTGAAAAAAACACGTTTTAACGTATATGAAATGAAATGCTAAAGATTGATCTTATGCTAAAAATTGAGCACTACAAGGGTAAAGTTAGGGTTGTTTTTTTTTATATATTTAAATGTGTTTTTGTGTTGAAAAGGAAAAATGGAAAGTAAAATATCAACTTTAAGGATGTAGGATGTCCTTGTTCATGCAGAAAAAATTCAGTTCGATTTCATGAAAAAGGATATGGAGATAACAAACAGTATTCAATCTCAAAGTCCATAAAACAATACAAAATAAGAGCAGAGTAAACACGGACCTCCGAAACATCAGAGGTGGGATCAAGTGCCATGGAGGAGTGAACACCCGCCGTGTGCTCATTGTCATGATCAGGAAATAACGGAAAAAATCCGTCGTCAATTCAGTGTATAAATAATGGACTAAAAACTGGAATGAAAAAGTCAGTCGACATTTGACTCAATGATAAATTGTATTTGCTGACAAGGTATTGTATCGACCATAGAACTTACGAAATGATGACTTTAAACGAGACTGTTGATATTCTTGTTTCATCAATTTGCTTGTCAATAATTTACTTTGTTTTAGAAATTGTTCATACGTAGAGCATGCTCTTGCGTTTCGAATCAATGAGATATATATATTCCGTATACAGATGACGCTGGTATATTGCTGCATAAGTAAGGGAATTTGACGATAGAAAAGTTAGAGTCGTCACGATTATCATAGAGCTTGTTTATTAGATTATGTCTTTTTTCAAGTAAAATATCCAAGTATGAAACAGAAGTGTCGGACTCTATGGTATCTTTTATCTCAAGCTCACCAGGATATATCGTATCGACGTAGGAATGGAAATAACCAATGTTAATTGACAATACGTGATGGATATATCTAAATGTCAAGTTGAAGGCAACAGCAAGTGTTTTCTTCTTTTCACACATAAGATTTTGCATAAATTTTGCTTCATATGAATATAAAAATAAGTCTGCTAATAACGGAGCGCAATTTGTACCTATGAAAATTCCAATAGATTGTTGGAATACCTGGTCTCCAAAAACCCCATTGATATTGTCAATCAGAAACTAAAGCATCTTCTTGATGTCAACTTCAGAGAACTAATGTGTGCAATCAGAATCTGTTTTAAAAAAATAATTCTGCAAATGATCAATTACGAGGTAAGTAATTTTACGAGTTCCATTTTTATTTCCATTTTTAAGAAGCAGCTGTCAATGATATCAAAAAGCCTGGATATTAATTTGTCGTGGGGAATTGTTGTGTATAAAGTAGAAAATTATTTCTTATATTTTTTTTTCATTCAAAACATCAGAAAATAAACGAATTTAAACCATTGCACTTCATTAAGTTTTTTGTAAAAGAGAGAGGACGGATATGGAGATAACGAACAGTATTCAATCTCAAAGTCCATAAAACAATACAAAATGGGAGCAGAGCAAACACGGACCTCCAAAACATCAGTGGTGGGATAAGGTGTTATGGAGGAGTGAGCAGCTTCAATGGCTGCATGTTGAATTAAGTTGTCAATCGTCAATGGCTGCATGTTGAATTAAGTTGTCAACCTTCAATGGCTTCATGTTGAATTAAGTTGTCAACCTTCAATGGCTGCATGTTGAATTAAGTTGTCAACCTTCAATGCCTGCATGTGAATTAAGTTGTCAACCTTCAATGGCTGCATGTTGTATTAAGTTATCAACCTTCAATGGCTGCATGTTGAATTAAGTTGTCAACCTTCAGTGGCTACATGTTGAATTAAGTTGTCAACTTTCCGTTGCTACATGTTGAATTAAGGTGTCAATCTTCAATGGCTGCATGTTGAATTAAGTTGTCAATCTTCAATGGCTGCATGTTGAATTAAGTTGTCAATCTTCAATGGCTGCATGTTGAATTAAGTTGTCAACCTTCAATGGCTGCATGTTGAATTAAGTTCTCAATTTTCAATGGCTGCATGTTGAATTAAGTTGTCAACCTTCAGTGGCTACATGTTGAATTAAGTTGTCAACCTTCAATGATTGCATGTTAAATAAGGTTTTCAATCTTTAATAGCTGCATGTTGAATTAAGTTGTCAACCTTCAGTGGTTGCATGTTTATTTAAGTTGTCAACCTTCAATGGCTTCATGTTGAATTAAGTTGTCAACCTTCAGTGGCTACATGATGATTTAAGTTGTCAACCTTCAGTAGCTACATGTCGTTTTAAGTTGTCAATCCTCAGTGGCTGCATGTTGAATTAAGTTGTCAACCTATAGGGGATGCATGTTGAATTTAGTCGTCAACCTTCTGTGGCTACATGTTGAATTAAGTTGTCAACCTTCAGTGGCTACATGTTAAATTAAGTTGTCAACCTTCAGTGGCTACATGTTGAATTAAGTTTTTAACATTCAGTGGCTGCATGTTAAATTAGGTTTTCAATCTTAAATGGCTGCATGTTGAATTAAGTTGTCAATCTTAAGTGGCTGCATGTTGAATTAAGTTTTCAACCTTTAGTGGCCACATGTTGAATGAAGTTGTCAATCTTCAGTGGATACATGTTAAATTAAGTTATCAATCTTCAGTGGATACATGTTGAATTAAGTTGTCAATCTTCAATGGCTACATATTGTATTAAGTTGTCAACCTTCAATGGCTTCATGTTGAATAAAGTTGTCAACTTTCAATGAATGTAAGTTGAATTAAGTTGTCAACATTCAATGAATGCATGTAGAATTAAGTTGTCAACCTTAAATGACTGCATGTTAAATTAGGTTTTTAATCTTCAATGGCTGCATGTTGAATTAAGTTGTCAATCTTAAGTGGCTGCATGTTGAATTAAGTTTTCAACCTTAAGTGCCTGCATGTTGAATTAAGTTATCAATCTTCAGTGGATACATGTTGAATTAAGTTGTCAATCTTCAGTGGATACATGTTGAATTAAATTGTCAACCTTCAATGGCGGCATGTTGAATTAAGTTGTCAACATTCAATGGCGGCATGTTGAATTACGTTGTCAATCTTCAATGGCTTCATGTTGAATTAAGTTGTCAATCTTCAATAAATGTAAGTTGAATTAAGTTGTCAACCTTCAATGGATACATGTTGAATTAAGTTGTCAACCTTAGATGACTATATGTTAAATTAGGTTTTCAATCTTCAATAGCTGCATGTTGAATAAAGTTCTCAACTTTCAGTGGCTGCATGTTGAATTAAGTTGTCAATCTTTGGTGGCTACATGTTGAATAAAGTTGTCAACCTTCAGCGGCTGCATGTTGAATTAATTTGTCAATCTTTTTCGTTTTTTTCCTTCATCGTTTTCTTCATCAACACTGGAGTCTTTTTTGTAATGGTTGATTAGTTTCCAATCTTAAAACATTCTTTGCTTTAAGAATATTTATTTCTTCTTAATAGAATGTGTGTGGGGGAGGGGTTAAGGGTAGGGAATGACCAGGTGAGATTATAACTTTGTGAGTTGTTATGTCATATAGTATGAATTTTAGAGATAAATTGATTCGTGTTCACCCCACAACTAATGACCAGGTGATATTATAACGAAGTGAGTTAGTATGCCATATTGTATGAATTTCAGAGATAAGTTGATTCGTGTTCACCCCACCACTAGTTCATGTTCAGGTGCGAGCTTTAGAAAGACTCCAGGACAATCCGACTCTCAAGGTATGATCCTGATTTTCCTCTTTATATTCAGATTATGATTATCTTTCAGAGTCAATATCAATCCTAGTGCTTACAATTTCTTGACCATTCTGACAATTTTCTTTTTTATAATATTTATGTCCGGGTTGAGCCCCCGTCTTCAAACTGGCAAATACCCTTTCCTTTTATAACAATCTTTTTCTTTATTTACCACCTTAAAATTAGAAACATTTCATATGAATTTTTAAAAATGAACTAGAATACCTCCAGGCTAAGTAAATGATTTGTTTGATTTTTATTTTACTTCAAAGTTTCTAAATAACCAAAACTTCCTTATTTCAGATGGACTTTTGGAAGAGACCGCATTTAAACACTGATGTAGAAATTCACGTGCCAATTAAAATGTACAATTACGTCACAAAGAAGTTGTCGCGTGTTGACCTACAGCCAATCATTTTAGTCCATGATTTACAAAGGTATGAATTACACAATTTTTGATGCCTCGTCAGGGCAATCACTTTGAATAATTTCTCGTTCGAAAAAAAGTCAAAATTTTGTCTCGCTATTTTTTCTACGTTTGGATGAGTTTTGTCTAAAACATTTGAATTGTTCAATGAAGAAAAAAGCTTGGATGCATTCATTGTGTCAAAAATCGTAAAATCGTAGATATTTCATATGTTTTAAAGCCATCAATAATTTTAATTATTCTTTAGTGTAATTGACCAAGAGCAAGCATCCATGCAGAATCCTGATTACGTCATTGACTCAACAGGCACCATTATGACGTCATTCAGTCATACCAAAAACCAGGATATCGTGGGAAAATTTGCAAGACATTCCGAGGTAGACAACTTTATAACGTAACAAAAGACACAATGCCTTATTTATGTCAATATGTCTGAATCGATATAGTTGCTTTTATCTCTTTTAGACTTTTAATGTACATTATAACTTTGGGTTACTTTGAGCGCCACACATGTTAGAAACACATAAATATGCATAATATTCATTTGTTATTCGTGTATGGCATATTAACTAGTGAAGGAAGAAGAACTGGATATATGACAGATGTATATTAATTTAATGAAACATTTTTCACCGTTGTTTTTATTTCATTTTTATATATAAAGTAAGAAGAAAGAGTAACCCGAATTTACAGAGAGGGTTTCTTCTTTAGGGTTTATTTATTTTTTTTTTTTTTGAATTGCTTGCTTAGATCGACAGCTGGCTTACCAGCATGGCGTTACAATACCCTACACTCGCTAAAGTGGAATCCCTGGGAATGTCGCACGAGGGTAGAGACATGAAGATCATTAAGGTATATAATGAGTCTAGTAAAAAACCTAATTTCTTAAAACATTGGAATAAATCGCGTGGTTGAGTACCGTTTAAGTGGACAATTAATTTAAATATAAAATGAGCTACTTATCCCAAAATATTTCTTGTGAAAAATAATGTCAGCAGTTTGTTAAATTTAGAAATAATAGAACTATCGATGCGGAATAAATTGTAAGTAATGTTAGTTTTCATCGATCTCAGAACCAGTGCATATAATAATACCAAAATATATCCTTGATGAAATTCCACCTTTTCAGTACATTTCGAGTTGACAAAAAATTTCTTTCATTCTACTTCCAAAATTCCACGTGATATTTTAATGCTATAAAATAATGGATTGTCAATACCATGACTTTAATCCTGATTAACGAGAATTCAAATTTCAGCTTGGCAAAAACGATGAAGGGAGGGCTAAGCCAGTGATTTGGATCGAGGCTGGGATCCATGCTAGAGAATGGATTGCACCCGCAACCGCTATTTACACAATAAACAAGGTATATGCCGCCATTTACACAATTAACAAGGTATATGCCGACATTTACAGAATAAACAATGTATACTGTAAATGTATTATATTTAGCGCGTTCTATGTTTGGCGAAAATTGAATTTTGAACAAGTTAGCGTTGATTTGATTTAGTGCGTATCTTAATGTTCTTCTCTATAGATATACGTGCGAGACATTTAGCGTTGTATTTGAATTAGCAAATATTGCTTTCCATCAATAACGCTACAAAAATATACACAGCCAAATGTAATACGTTTAGAGAATGCCACCATTTACACAATGCACAAATATATTAATGTTACAGGGCTAAGTAATTTTTCATTTCTTCCGCCCTCTTTTACACAGTTTAAGAAATATTTGTGCAATGTTTTGGGGATGACACGGTTGCTTTTTTTTCCTTTCTCTTAATTTTAGTTGTTGACACAGTACTTGTCGTATTCTGGGGATGACACAGTTAATTTATCCTATCTCTTATTATACCCCTCTCTTGAAAAGTATGCTGTACTCGATATGTACGTCCGTCTGTCTCTTCGTCCGTCCGCCTGTCTGTTACGCTTTGAGGTACCCACATCTTATCGGCAACTCCTCTGATACCACTGAGTGAAATTTGATGAAACTTTCACATAATCTTTATTACATATAGCAATTGTGCACTTTCTATTTTACTTTTTGATCCGACACATACTTTGGGTTTCCCGGCAACAGCAAAACATGGACGTTGCCATTATAACCATATGGGAGGCGGGGGTATCATATAGTGAGCTCATTGCTCACAGAGTCTATAGTTTTCAGTTGTTGACAGACGACGGGTCGGATTCTTTGGGTGATTAGGTTGATTCATCCTTCCTCTTCTTTTCAGTTATTGACAGATTATGGGTCAGATTCTGACGTGACTCGGTTAATGGACGAGTTTGATTGGTACATCATCCCCTCCGCCAACCCTTGCTTTATCCTCTCTCTCTTCTTTTCAGTTGTTGACAGAGTATGGGTCAGATTCTGACGTGACTCGGTTAATGGACGAGTTTGATTGGCACATCATCCCCTCCGCCAACCCTGATGGTTACGAGTACAGCCACACTACGGTGTGTATCATTATTAACAAAACCATTCAGACAATTAAAAAAAACTAGATTCATAATTAAAAATAAAAACTTGACTATACATGAAAGTCTTTTTAGCATTATTTTCTACAAAAATTGATTAAGTCAATAGTTATGGCTAAGGTTAATGTTTGTTAAAATTTTTGAAAAAAAAAAATTATACTCAGAGGTCAAGATCAACGGGTTAAATATTAATATATTTGTAGCCGAAGAAATGCAATCTCATATGATGTATGAAAGCGCGTAATAGAAATGCTATCATAATGTTTGTTACAATGGCAATGAATGAGAGACTCTGTTTATAAACACTAATTATATGCACTGTATTTCATGACATTTTCTTACTAATTGTATTTTTCTAGGATCGACTATGGAGAAAGACACGGAGCCGACAGTCTGGTCGGTGTGTACACTACTAAGTCAGAAACGTACTGACATTCCCATTTTTTACTGACAAACTTAGAAAATTACTGACAATGTGCTGTCGTTACTGTAAAACGTAGACAATTACTAACTTTTTTACTGCCGGTACTGATAAACTTAGAAAAGTGCTGACAATCTTAGTCGGTGCTGAAAAACTTAGACAATTACTGACCCGCTTACTGTCCCTGCTGAAAAACTTAGACAAGTGCTGACATTTACTGATAAATACTGTCCCTATTGTTCTCGCTCTCGGGGAGGCTGCAGTGGTGTGAAAATGACTGTGTGATATACTTTGTATTTAAAAACAGTCTTATTTTATTTTTTGATGAAAAAATCCCAGGCAGCTATTATTTTTTTTAATCTAAATATTATTGATATCTGTAAAATAATTCAGAATATGATTTGAAATTAACTATGTATAAATCAAGTTTAAAATTTATGTGTTGAATATATCTATCTCTGTTCAGTTAAAGAATTAAAATTAATTATTCATCAAGTTAGTTTTAATCCATTTATTTCTTTGCAGACAGATATCTGATTTTAATGTAGAGTTACCCCCCCCCCCCCTGCTTTCACGATCGGAAAGTTGTATTAATTTAAAAAATTCTTTTCACAAACAAAACAGATGTCTCTTGTTGAAAATCTTCTAAATATTGAATAATTACTGATAGTTAATTCAGTTTCTTAATGTTCTCGGAGATCTGTACAAGTCATATAATTAGATACCCCTGTTTAGGATTTCCGGTTTCATTTGCTCATACGGGAGTACCCCTATTGAACAATGTAGTGTTCCATATATAAACTTGTACTATGCCTTGTTAATTTTGTCACTTAAAACATTATGCAGGGTTCATTATGAAATAAGTACCCAATGTCTGTAAGTCCGAGACTAATAAATATTCATCAAACTTGTAATAAAAATTCATGTACTAGCAATTACAGTAATCTTACGGAAAATATTTATATTTACTAGGTCAGCGGTGAGATTAATATAAGCAGTAGCATCATTTATCTCTAATATTTTTTTTCTCTCTCTCTCTTTCTCTATCTCTCTCAAAGATACAAACAGTATTGACACTTTAAATTACTTGACAAGTGATAGGTTTATTCACATTGTCGGGATGAGGGTGGGGGTTAGCTCACGATTTAGTTTTTAAACTTGATCCTTAAGTATTTTTTAATCATGATTCAATTTAAACAAAAATATTACATGTTTCAAACCTTCCATTTTCCCCTGTTTCTACACCTGTATCGGTGAATTGGAATTAATTTTATTATATGTGCAGAAATTTAATTTTATCTCATTAAAGTAGATAGGCGTAGGGGGTGTTATGATATTAACATTATAATAAGACAGAAGGCGGACTTGTCTAGTAAAATATTTTACGAAGTAGTAAAAATTGGAAGTCATTAGTCCGTCGAACCAGTGCTCAAAAATATTTATTTCGAACCCTCTAGCATACATGTATACCCCCCCCCCCCCATAAACACACGTTACATGAAAAAAAAAATATCTAGTATACTTAAAAAGGATTTATAATAATGTGTAAGTTTTTTGAATGATGCAAATTTCTTTGGCTATTTGATCAATTTATACTCGTAATCATTATTTATTTGATTTAGGTTTCATTAACATTTTTTTTTCACAAGATTAAGTTATTCGCTAACTGCAGGTGCCCACTATCTTCCATTCCGTTCATCTCTCTCTCCCTCTCTCTCTATCTCTCATTCTCTCTCTCCAAAAATCAATATCAACCCAGGGAAAGTTTAAAATATAGTTAAACTCCTGCTGAACTTTTTTTTACTGACATGTTATTGCTGCATATAAATTGTTTTTGATCTTTATAATTAATTATTCTTAATTACTGATAAAAAGTTAAGACAATATAATATGAACTATTTTTTATTTGATTTGGTATAAATCAAACAAATTCCTCACTTCACTGTCCCACATCCACACTAACACGACTTAACAAAAAAATATTAGGGACCAGTAATTTTTTTTTTTACAAAACATTGAATGTAACGTTCCCCTTCTGTAACACTAATTCATACATTTAGTATTCTCATATCGAGTCACAACATGTTCCTAACATAAACTTCAATCTCGTTCTATAGATTAAAGACGTAATAAACTGTAGGGAAGAATGTAAGGAAGAAGGATATGGAGATAACGAACGTATTCAATATCAAAGTCCATAAAACAATACAAAACAGGAACCGAGCATACAGATAAAAGACGTAATAAACTGTAAATAATATAATATCACCTGAAGAGGATAGAAGAAGATGACACACATATGGCAATGGAAAAATTAATAACTTGGGAACTCATCTCTTCTGGTCAAGGAGTCGGAAAATATTAATAGAGTTATCTCGCTTTCCCCCAAAATAAAAATCTACCCCTTCTTATTCGTACATTAAAGTCAAATAAATAAAACTGAGTTGGAAAAAAAATTGCTGAAACAGTTTTTAGAAAGACACATTCTATGATATTTTCCAAAGGTTAGATAAATGAATTAGAAAATATTATTTTTAAGTTGTTGTAGGCTAAAGACAATTGACAGAATGCATTGACAGCATGAAGTAACTCATATCTTGTTATAAAATAGTTTATATTACTTAAAGCAATAAAATTATAAATGAATGTATTTAAAAATAAAAGAATTTCGTTTCTAAAGCCTTATGATACTGTTAAATTTCGCCTCAAACATGTTTTTTTTCCGTTCAAATTGACACAGACGCAAAAATGTGTGTATTTTTGATAATGACCCAGAGACCAAGAAATATACAGGATGTAAAAAAAACCGGAAGTTTCCTCTTTAATAGATTAATGTATTCACCATGATTTTAGAACAGAGGAAGGAAAGATTTGCACAATAGAATCATGTCACACTAGACGTTCCCTTACGAAGTGAGACACAACTTTGGATGTCTTGTAAGTAGGCCATTATAAATACGTCCGCCGTGTTCAACTGCTTGTCTCATACCTCTAGTTCGCCCACAACTTTGGCTGCCTGATACATTATTTCACTTCCATATTCCTAACCATAGACGACATTTGTTGACACACAGTTGAAAATAATTTGATACAAATATAATTATGTACGATAGAAAAGGCTTTATGAACGTCATATAAGGCTTTGAAACATACATATTTGTCTTTTAATCAATACGTGTGAATTATATCAAGTTTAGGTCTTTATTCACTATTCATTCAAACATTTCTTTTACCTGGTCAAATTAATTAATATTTGTTTAAAATATATTCTATTAATTATGATTAACATTTGCACAGCATGATGCATGTTTATTTATCTTTGAATAGATAATTCATATGTTATATTTTTAATTTCGTTAGTTAGAGAAAAGTAAACTTATGTTATTTCTTTTCGGCATGATAGTGGATATATTTGCGTACCTGGAGAAGATCGGGGTAACTTAATCATGTATCCAAGCGCGACCAAGGGTAACCGCCCTAACAACGATCATTTCTCTGAGTGTAGTAAAGGAAACATCACGTTAGTCTAAGAGGCAGTAGTGAACGAGAGGAATGGGAAGTCTAACTGCTTTAAATGTTACAACAATTCACTTAGACCTCCGCACATCAGACAGTGTATTAATTTGTTTTATATTTTATTACCTTCCATCACCAGACAGTGTTTTACTCTGCTTTTCATTTTACAACATTTCACTTAGACCTCCGCACATCAGACAGTGTATTAATCTGTTTTATATTTCATTACCTTCCATCACCAGACAGTGTTTTACTCTGCTTTATATTTTACAACATTTCACTTAGACCTCCGCACATCAGACAGTGTATTAATCTGTTTTATATTTCATTACCTTCCATCACCAGACAGTGTTTTACTCTGCTTTATATTTTACAACATTTCACTTAGACCTCCGCACATTAGACAGTGTATTAATCTGTTTTATATTTTATTACCTTCCATCACCAGAGTGTTTTACTCTGCTTTATATTTTACAACATTTCATTTAGACCTCCGCACATCAGACAGTGTATTAATCTGTTTTATATTTTATTACCTTCCAACACCAGACAGTGTTTTACTCT